CAGCATGATAAATTACATATCATTGGCTGATTTAAGAGATATTATTAAGGGATGGAGCTCTCATTTGGCTAAATTCTTGGATGCGATAAATTATTGGACTCGTTCTGGAAACAAGAAGTCAAAGAAGCTCAATATTACAGTTAGCAGAGACGATACCGCACCACAACAAACGAAAGGACCCAGAGGGGATTGTGGTCCTCTCGTATGCTTGGCGTTGGAGCGTTTGATCACAGGAAGTATAAAGTATCTACCTCACACCGATAGAGATAGAGCTGCAGTAGGCTTGTGGTTTCGGTATTATATGGCTAGATCGATATATATGAGACGTTGCCTACCTGCATCCGCGTTATAAAAATGTCCATAAACAATTGGTAAGTTTATAGGCTTGTGGTCTGAAAATGTTTGGTTAAGTACCTAGAATTCAATAATTTGCTGTTTGTAGGTTTTAGATGTGTAGAAAGTGTTGTTTGAGCAAATGTTTGGTTTCTGCAGGTTAATCTCAGAAGTGAGCTGCGTGAAAATGATGTATGGCTGCAAAAGTTGATTCAATAGTAGATGAGGAAATAAGAATTATTGCTTATTTTTTGATTGTTTAATTGATTTGTAAAAAATGATTTGTAAAAGTTGATTTGTTTAATTGATGTGAACATAATTCTTATTTGTGCTTGTTTAATTGATTGAAATGTAATGGTTGATTTTGTTGATTTCAATCTGCATTATGTTGAAGGCAAAAATGACTATCGCAATGCGAAATGAAAATAGCAACGCTAAATGAAAATCGCAACGCGAAACTAAATTCGCGTTGCGATTTTCATTTCGTTTTGCGATTCCCTAGTTGCGATTTTCATTTCGCATTGCGATTCTCTCGTTGCGATTTTCATTTCGCGTTGCGATTCTCTCGTTGCGATTTTCATTTCGCATTGCGATAGTCATTTCCGCGTTGCGATAGACATTAAGATGATTGTGAACATCATTTCCGTGTTGCGATAGTCAAATGAATGCCTAATAAGTGATAACAACTGAACAGATCATAGCAATTTTCAAACTCAAGTTACTAATACATGGCTAACTGAAAATGTTAAAAGTTCACACATAAAATCCACATAATACAACGTTTGCATTTAAAAATCACCTAAGTTAACAGTCCCAAAAGGTGAAGCCGGTTGTGATTGGGATTTTAAAGATGATTGCGATTTTGATTGCCTTTTGCTTGACACCATATGAGCTTTGGATTTTGATGAGGATCCATATTTTGGTAGAGGAAAAGATGATTGTGATGGCACTGGTGATCCACATGTCAACCTTGTATGACCACTTTCCTTGCACCGACTACATGTCGATCTCTTCTTCTCTTCACCCTTAGACGGTATACGATCGTGACTTTTTGGTCGGCCAGGTAGCCTTCTGTCCATGGCTGGTGGCAAAACTGTTTGTAAGTCATCTAGTATGTCCCACTCAGAAGGATATGGAATAGGGTAGACAATCTCACCATAAGCCTATCGATATACTTCTGTAGTGCAGCAATCCATAGCGTATGCGCTTGAATCATCTTGGTTTAGATGAAGAGAAACTTTTATAACATGGCTACACGGATAACCAGATGTTTGCCATTTCATACAACTACACGTCTTTGCATTTAGATCGACAAGCCCATTTAAGTTATTATCCAGTACTTCAAACAAAGTGTTTGAACATGGTTCAACTCTCCATGATATTGACTTCACAACACATTTCGTTATCTTTTTTTCTGTCCATGGTGTAACACAATGTTCTAATGTTCCTGTAAATTTAAATAAATAATACTTAGTAAAATATATGATAAGTTACGAATTTAAAGAAATAATACCTACATGGTTTCTTTTCTTGTAGTACCAATGTTGAATAGAGGCTCGAAAAAACTCCATTAACATATTAATGGGTAATTTCCGGGAATGACGACTTAGAGCGTTGATTGATTCTGCACTATTAGACGTCATGAAACCATATCTTGCTCCAAGTTGATGTACTCTTGACCATCTTTCAAACCCGACATCTTCTAGTGTTTGAGCACACTGAGGCAAAACACGTCTTAAACACTTCATATGCTTATTAAAATCCACTTCCCGATAAGCTTTTACAGCCTTCCAGTATGTCCATTTGTGATTTTTTATACCAGCCGACCTTGATTTTAGATTTCTATACAAATGAACACCACAAAGTCCATGAAAAGCATCTAGGAAACACCTTCTAACAGCGTTGTCAATTGAGTTTGCCCTATCGGATATGATTGTCAGATTGCTAATAGGACCTATGCAATCCCTAAGATGCCCCATAAACCATATCCATGAATCAGAGGTTTCAGATTTTCCAACCCCGTAAGCTATTGGCAGTATCCCATTGTTAGCATCCATGGCTACTGCTAATAAGTTTACTCCAAGGTATCGACCTTTTAAATGTGCTCCGTCAACTATAATAACTGGGCGCATGCAATTAATAAACGAACGAATCTACAAAATCATATACACAAGAAATATAATCATTTAAATGTGAAATGCATGTAACTAACAAAAATGAGTCAACAAAATTATATTGATTTACTAACCGCAGCACCAATGGCGATAAATAGCAACTCAAAGCGTCCATCTCTATCTGTTTTGATATGAGTTACTGACCCAGGATTTTTCAGCTTTAAATTGTGACAATAAGCTGGCAGTTGGGCAAACGATGCTTCTGGTGACCCCCTCAACAATTCCAAGGCATAACATTTGGCTCTCCAAGCTTGAGAATATGAGATACTAATCTTGAACCGAGCATTCATGTCAGTCATAATTTCATGTCCCCGATATACCCTACCATTCAAAAACATTAACTCAGCCAGAAAACCACCCAACACCTTTTTGTTTGCCTGTCTATGGTGAGGAAAAACTTGGGTTCTTGAACATGTATGTTTATCAATAAAAGTCCTAACTTGAAACATTTCGCAATCTTTTATCCTCTTTGCAATCATACGTCACATACAGTTTTTTTCAATCATACACCTTGTTTCGAAACGATCTTTGCTTGATTTGTTAACTTTTAGTTGATAGTCATCTTCCACACATTTCGTATACAAAGCTATCTTCAAGTCTTCCTTTGTATCAAAACAATCATCTTTCTTGATACGAATAATTTTTGTGTGACAATCAACTGCTATCTTTACCAACTCTTCTTCCGGTATCTGAAGTAATTCTGGCATATTCCAGTTATACTCCCGTGGCATTTTCTTCGGGGACTTTTCTTTGGGGATTTCTTCTTCTTTTTCTTCTACAGTGTTATATGAATTACAGAATGGATGTTCAACATGTTCATTTACAGTCGTAACTTCCTCCTCATTATCATCAACAACATCTTCCTCAGCAACGGCTGTTTCATCATCAAAATTCGGGTATTGACCAATATCAAAATCATTACACGCAGGGTCTGTTTCTTCTTCTGAAAAATCATCAAAATCCGAGTATTGACCAAGATCAAAGTCCGGGTATTGACCAAGATCAAATTTCGAATACTGACTAGTACTCACAATTTTTTTTGTTGGCTCATCATCGTCTAACTGGTCAATACGAAAACCGGAATTTGGTGCTGAAAGTTGATTGGGATTTGGATTAGGGAAAGGTTGTAGGTTTTGAGATTGTGTTTGGTATTGGAAATGTGGTGAAACAATATTTGCTTGGTGATGAAATTGTGGTGGAACCATTAAATTTTGAGCACCATAAACTGGGGTTGAAAAACTTAGTTGATTACTACCCGCTACTGACCCAACTTCACTACTTCTAGGTTCAACAACATACAATGTAACATCATCACTTGAAACACTAATGTAAGCAATGAATCGTTCAACATCTTCATTGCCGGTTAACAAATAAACTTTACCATTTCTCTGATAAGATAGCCTAAATCCACTTAGGGGCTCTAAATTCAATTTATTTGCAACACGTAACATTAGAGTTTCATAAGTTAACTTTTTTAATGACAGTTTTAGTTGAAGATTCATGGGTAAAGGCATATATTGTAAAACACCATGAACATTCTCTCATGACCCTCCAAAACACAAATATATCCAAACATGAACAACATTAGATGATTTCATTATTGTAAATTAATTTACTAAACAAACGAGCTGCGAAACTAAAACCTGTTGCCGGATGGGGAAGGATGTCGTTGGATATAGGAACAGATGTCGCCGGAGAGAGTGATAGATGGAGATGGAATGAGTTGCGATTTAGGGATTTAGGTTATGAGTTGATGCTGCTGCGTATTTTATACCCAAAACATTTGTGTTGCGAAATTAAAACCTGTTGCGAATTCAGAAATCGAGTTGCGAATTTGAAATTCAGTATTGCGATAGTTAGAATCTCGTCGCGATTACGTAAATCGCAATGCGATTACGTAAATCGAAGTGCGAATTAAGAAAATCGCAATGCGATTACGTAAATCGCAATGCGATTACGTAAATTGCAATGCGATTACGTAAATCGCAATGCGATTACGTAAATCGCAATGCGAATTAGGAAAATCGCAATGCGATTATGTATTCGCATTGCGATTTACGTATTCGCATTGCGAATTAGGAAAATCGCAACGCGAATTTGGGAAATCGCAATGCGATAGTCAGAATCGCATTGCGAATCTGGAAACTGATTTGCGATACCGGAGATCGCGTTGCGAATTATCGATCGCATTGCGATTTAGTTGGTCATTTTGGCAAATCCAAAAAAAGTTGGTTAAAATCGTATATTATAAGGCATTTTTGGTCACTGAGGTTATTTTCTCTTTTTAAAATGGTGTTACTTTTATTTTCAATATTTTATATAAAAATCAGTTCTTAAAAAAATGGAATGTCAATCCAAATTTAGTTAACAAAATAATTAATAAGTTGAAGGATCTTTTTAGTGATTTAACGATTATTATAAACCATGGTTAAAAAGTGCACCCAGCGGTGTACGGCTCACGTTCCCCTCGATTTATCTCGCCCACATCGTAAATGCATACCGCTTTTTATATTCAACATTTCTATAATATGTTTTCCTTTTCTCTTTCAATTCGCCTCATTCTCCGTGTTTTTATCGATTGACTGCCGACACGGCGGTTTTCAAAGGCCACTCCACGGTAATTTCTCTCTGGAAAAGGATTTGATCGCCGAGGAGTTGGAATATATTTTCTTTTGTTTATTTGTGTGTGTGTGTGGTTTTTTTATAATTAGTTTATTTGTTGGAGTGGAATTGGTTGAGTTATTGAGTTTGATTTGGGAATTTGAGGCGAAAAGAAGAAGAAATTGAGCCTTGTTGGTTATTGAATATTTATGTGTTTGTTATTCTTTTAGATGTTATTGGATTTTTTTCCAGATTCTGTTAGGTTATTTTTTTGATGTGAAATAAAAAGGGAAGAAGCGATGTTGGTACTGAATATCATTCTGCATTGATAACATTTGGAGGGAACAAAGCGGTGTCGTATTACGGGGTAATATCAGGAGGAGAGTGGAGATTGAGGTTGTTGCTGGAAATGTGCAGTTTCGAAGGGATTGTGAAAAAGGGAGGGATGAGACTTGGGATAATGAAAGGGGGCGGCGGAGCAGGAGCTAGCGGAGGCGAGAGATTGGATAATTTGAAAAAAGGTTCGAGAATGAAGCTGTGGATCATACGCGCTGCCATATCTGTGTTGCTTTGGACTTGCATCGTACAGTTAATGACCTTGGGAGAGACATGGGGACCTCGCGTCCTTAAGGGTTGCCCTTCATGTTTCTCTCGTCAGGATTCTTCCGTTTCCGCCATTGAAGACAAAGTTCTTGCCTTTCCCGCCCGTGTAATTCCTCCCAAAAGTAATCTCCCCCTCTTCTTTTATTTCTGTTAATTTTGAACGTTGTTTCTGCTATTATACAATTTTGTTTGGTTAAATTAGGGAAGAAATTGAGCCAATCTCTCCTGGAAACAAGGAAAACCTTTGTAAGCAATAGAATTGAATGGTTTTCATCTCTTTGTTTGACGAATTTACAAGCTCCATAAGTGCATTTCTTACTTTTCATCCTTACCTTCATTCTTACTTTTTCATTCAAGTTTTAGGGATCATTTGTACGTGCTGTTTAATATTCTGGTTACTGAATTTAGATCCTTAAATGATATATTTTTTTAACTACAGGGGTGTATAAGAATAATGGATACCTGATGGTTTCATGTAATGGAGGTCTCAATCAAATGCGAGCAGCAGTGAGTACTCTAGAAAATAAAATTAAACCCCCCCCCCCCATTTTCTTTCTAGATTAATTAAGTTCCATCATTTGTTTTTGTGGTGTAAATCTGTGGAAATTTATGCCATGGTCTTTTGTTTTGGGGGGTTTGCATGACAGATTTGTGACATGGTTACCATTGCAAGATATTTGAATGTCACACTTATAGTCCCTGAGCTGGATAAAACATCCTTCTGGGCTGATCCCAGGTGTGTTAACTAAGCTTTGTTGGTATCATTGGAGTTATTGGATTTATAGCCTTCAAAAGGATGTTCTAATATATATTTCTAGTATTTTTTGAACCGTGGTCATTATTCTTACATATTAATAAATATTCTTTAATTGATATGTCAGTGAATTTCAAGATATATTTGACGTGGATCATTTCATTACATCGTTGAGAGATGAGGTTCGAATATTGAAGGAGTTGCCTCCTAGGCTTAAGAAAATAGTGGAAATGGGGAGTGTGTATTCAATGCCACCAATTAGCTGGTCAGATATGTCCTACTATCATAACCAGGTTAATTCTGTCATTTTATTTATTTATTTTGGTAGTGCTTTGTAGACATACTATAACATAGTTTGGTTCATTCTTCTCTTTTGTAAATTTTATGTTTTCCCAGTCTTTTACTTCCTAACAAGACTCCTTTTAAATTCATATGCATCTATTCATGCAGATTATTCCTCTGATAAAGAAGTATAAAGTTGTACATTTGAATAGAACTGATGCTCGACTTGCCAACAATGGACAGACTTTAGATGTTCAGAAGCTGCGATGTCGTGTAAATTTCAATGCTTTAAGATTCACTCCTCAGATAGAGGAGTTAGGTAAACGAGTTGTTAAGCTTCTAACGCAAAATGGTCCTTTCATAGTACTTCACCTTAGATATGAAATGGATATGTTAGCATTTTCTGGCTGTACCCACGGTTGCAATGAAGAAGAGGTGGACGAGTTGACAAGAATGAGGTGACCTGTACATGTATCTTTACAATTTACTGAATGCCTAAATTTAAACTTTAATCTCACGTATCACATGGCCGTTTTGGCAGATATGCTTATCCCTGGTGGAAAGAAAAAATAATAAATTCAGACTTGAAAAGGAAAGATGGTTTGTGCCCCTTGACGCCTGAGGAAACCGCCCTTATTTTGAGGGCACTGGACATTGATAATAGTTACCAAATCTATATTGCAGCTGGTGAAATCTATGGTGGAAAGAGGAGATTAGCAGATCTTGCTGCTGCTTATCCAAAATTGGTATGTAACTCGAAATTAAGCCAACTCACTTTTTTTCCAGTCATGTATTAATAATTAGCCTTTTGTTTGTTGAAACAGGTTAGAAAGGAGACTCTCTTGGAGCCATCGGACCTTAGTTTTTTCCAAAATCATTCATCCCAGATGGCTGCATTAGATTATCTTGTTTCATTGGAGAGTGATATTTTTATTCCTACATATGATGGAAACATGGCTAAAGTTGTTCAAGGCCATCGCAGGTACTGTGTTGCTTTTAATATGCTCTATGCGTCTGAATATCCCCACTTTTATATCTAGCGTCAGAAGGGGATAATAGTTTGTTTCTAGCTTGAAATCATAGCCAAACTTTTTCTTTCTTCTCCCCCCAACCCGGATTTTGTTCTTAGATTCATGAATATGATATTATTTGTGTTTGAAACTGTAGAAACTTAAACTATGACTACCCTTTTTTAAGAATGCTTTGTCTATGATCCCCCCCCCCAAATGATAATAGTTCTAGAGTGTGTTCTTGTCGTTCATAGTTGAAGATTTTCTATGATGTAACAATTTAGTGGTGAATGCTCCTACAGGTATCTGGGGTTCAAGCAGACAATTTTGTTGGACAGAAGGTTTTTGGTAGATTTGATAGATCAGTACAATAACGGATCTCTAAGTTGGGATGAGTTCTCGGAAGCTGTGAAGGAATCTCATGAAAATCGCAAGGGGCAACCGACTAAAAGGTTGGTGATACCTGACAGGCCTAAAGAAGAGGATTACTTCTATGCCAATCCAGAAGAATGCTTGCAACAACGATATGGTCAACTAAGTAGCTCGTGATCTTTCTGTCATGGGATTTGTTACGTTTATGGGTGTTTTCTTTTTCTAGAGTGCTAGCATCATACCTGAAACCGAAAGGCAGTTTCTCTACACAAAAATGACATTACCGAAGGTTTTACTTAAAAGGAGGTAGTTGTGGAGAAGCTTGGGGACTGAAGAACTCGAAGAAACCCCAAGACGATTTTGCAAAGCTGCTGGAGGACACAGATTTTTAGTATACGAAAATAATCCGAAGCGTGTATAGAAGAGCTGCACTACCATTATAGGGTAATGTCTGATCAAAAGGTATTTGTATACGAGGATTGCAAGTATATCTTTGGATTGTGGAGACTCGGGATTCATGGAAGGTTGGTCCATCCTCAATCTTGCATTACCTCAGTTTTTCCTTTTTAAATGTTATAGTTAGATTCTAGCATATATACATACATATCTATATATATATATCATTGTCTTATACAATGGACCATTGTATTTCTTTGTAGTATGGCTTCCTCCCCCTGTCAAATGCAAGGAATGGTTTTTCCCAATAGAAATCGTATGCTCCTCTTTCTGCCCTAAAAAATTGATCGGTTTCAGATCCAATCGGTTTTAGTGAATTGAACAAGTAATCCGGTCTTTGAATAGGCTAACCATTTGCTATTTGGGATGATGTTTGAATGATATGTTAAAAAGAAAGCAGAACGCTTATTTGATTTTGATGCAATTATTATATGTCAAATACAGATTTTGACACAGTGAAAGGAAAAAGACATTACATGTTAAGATTTATAGAATGCTAGAGTTGGATATATATTCATGTTGTTTAAATTTGGATTTTCGTTATTTGCATGAACTGTTATTCGAACATGAAATTAAATTAAATAAAGGTTATTTTTCGAGTACCTGGATTCTCTAAATGTCAAGTCAAAAATTTATATATTGGAATTTATTATTAATATATAGCATGTTAAGTTTTCTTTTGGTCAGCGCATATCGAGTTTAATCGACTTCAAAGCTCGGTTTAAATAAGAGTGGTGACAAAGTAAAAGCATGTAATTTGTTGGAACATTGTATCATGATTGCTTATGTGCCGAAATAAAACAATTCAAGTATAGTCTGGATGGAATTTTGGAGATCACGTATTTGACTTAAAATATTAAAATATACTTGCTTTTGCTTGTAAGTTAAAAGATTTAAGGACAGTTTGGCCTAGAATTGATTTTGTATTTTTTCCCTAATATTATCACAAGGGGTGAGTATTCAACTTAATTAAGTCGGGTTGGGTTAAAAAATTAAGTTAATAATGTTGATAAGTTTTATTTTATAACTTGAATTTTATTTGAATTTTTTTGAATCAAATCGAATTTATAAAATTCAAGTTGAATCAAATTGTTTAGTTTTTTTTTTAATTAGTAAGAGCTTAACTAAGAACTATAAAACTTAACATATGGGGGTTCGGTGATGTCACCATAGACTTTAGTTGACTAAATGACTTAATCCAAATTCTAGAAGACATTAATTTCCGGTAATTCTTTGTGCGGAAAGATGGCAACAGAAATCAAAATGATAAATTAAATGCAAGGAAACTGAATATTTGAATTTACATTAAAACTTGAAATATATTAGAGAGCTGAATATCACTAATAAAAACATGCTTGACAAATAATAATAGGAAACTTCAGACGATGGAAGCCTTCGATGAAAAGCAGCAGCTTCTCAACACCCATATGGTGAATAATATATATTACTATATTTTTATGAGAATTCTATGCTTCTGAATATATAGTTTCGATATTCATATTCGACACATATATCCTTCAAATTAAGAGAGAAGAAATTGAAAAAGGAAAAATTTAAGTACCCCGTCGAACATATATTTGTATGCAATACTTACCCGAATGAAGATAACATGTACATGGATGGATATTTTATCTTAGCTGACTGATTAGTTATTTGGTAGTGTTTATCAAACTTGGCGAGTGCACAACCCTTAAGGGCATTGTACCCAGCAAAAAATGATTAATAATAATGAATATCTCATTCATGTTTTAAGCTTCTTTAAAGGTTGATCAGAATCCTCACCGCATCCAACTCTTGGGCGTGTCTTCCCTTGATTTACGGAGGGAGCCGCCGTGCCCTAAGACCAAAAAAAGCACACGGTGAAAAATTAGATCGAAATTCTATGGTTTTTCCAAGATGAAAAAGGAAATGATATGCTAAAAATGAAGAAAATTCTGGAGGCTGGCAGTAGCAATGGAAAACAACCTTAAGTATGGATGCGGGAGCCGACGGTCGGCAGTTCGATCGCTTCCCGAGCTCAATTTGCACTGCGATGCTGGTTTGTGACAAATCTAGTCCAGAAGTTTGTAGGCCTTGTGTTAGCTTATTCAACAACCTGTACAACCATGGACAAATTACGTACCAGATTTGTGTTAAACACAAATGTCGAACAGAAATACTTCAAGAAAATCGGAGGCATGGTGAAGAACTTACCGTTGCGAATATGCGCTTGAGATGCTAATCGTTCCACCTTCAACTGTCCGCTCTTGTTCTTTCTGCTTCTCATTAGGAATTGAACCATTAGTAGCACAGGAACCAGTATGACATGGTATAGTTTGAGGCTGAGGTATACTGTTTTCTGCATCAGATGGCAACCTAGATACAACTTGAGTTGCTGGAACGGAGTTCAGAGCAGAGTTGAAGTTTGGCTGTAGTGACATCGGAAAGGGCATCGTTTTATTCATCATTCCCGGGCTAAGGTCCATCGCTCTGAAGCTGGTAGTAGCTCTGCTCATATTAGGAGGTTCGATAGGGCTCTCTGCACTTTCATGAACGGTTGGGTTGACGGTGCCATTAACAGCTTGAGATTGATCGGCATGATTTTCTGTAGGCCTCTGGTTGCTTCTCTGTTTCAGTCATTGAACAAATGATCAAACTGTAATGCCAAACCAATCTAATCTGCTATGTTGCTCCAACATTGATATATATATTCGGACACACTCGTATCCGATACTCACTCATATCCGATACTCACTCGAACTTAAGTAACGTAAGAGTGAATGTGCAATTCTTAGTTAACAGTGCTAAGTTTAGAATTTACCCATGGTATCAATTTTGATGGTCCATTGCTCCAACCTTGATACGTTCCTTCATATTTGTTTAGTTTTTCTTGTAAAAACTGAATGTACTCAACAACCTATGAAAGATTGAAACAAACATGGTTTCAGAACTTGGAAATTGAAGACAGGAACAATAACTATTACAAGGAATCTATGTACCTCTAATAAGAACGAGGCTTTATCTCTCTTTTGGTATCTATTTGGAATGATATCTCTCAGCATTTGAAATCTGCAAAAAAAGTAGCAAGATTTTAGTCTATAATGGCGAATTCTAATATATATCAAATGCGAAGCTGATTAGAGTTATGCTTTTGCCTGTTGTTAATTTTACTCCTCCTTCGTTGTTCAGTAGCAGAGTGTTTTGACCTTGGGGTGTTGGCCTTCTGATCAGGGGCACTCTTTCCATCCACTTTCACTCTCAATTCTCCTGTAAAAATAAGTACAATCATTAGAACAACGAAATTCTAAATACCCTTAGAAATACCACATTGTGTCTTTATCTAAGTTCACTAATATTTACATTAATATACGATAATGTTGCATAATTACTTAGGTCTAGAAGTAAGTGATGATACACGTATGTTTTAGATATAAATACAAAGGGGGAATATTGATACCTATATTATGGGTGGTGATGGAACTCTCTTTCTTGAGAATAAAATCATCATCTTCTTCAAAATCATCATCAAGCGAGCTACCTTTTGCAGATTTTATCATTTCCATGAAGGTTTGACTTTTCTGCTTTGATGATGGTCTGTGAATAGATCCCAAAGAAACCATTTTGGTTCATTTTTAACCCAGAAGTAATAAAAATTTATTAATAAATAAATAAATAAAAGAAACTAGAGTAAGTAGTGACTGACTGAGAGGAAGAGAGACAACTGAAACTCTTGGGATGGTTGTTGGTCGACGACTGAGACCCTTTGTCCAACGACGTCGTGGCACACTGTCCCACCTTCCCCGCTGATTCTATCAGAAGTAGCAGCCAAAATTTATATCAAGTAAACGAGCACAGCAGCTTTTTACTCCGAAAATGAAATGTTAAGTTTTGATTTCGAGAACACATGGAACAAAATGACTTAATGCATAAATTCAATAACATTATGGAACATCCAGATAGGTTTTAACGTACCAACCTGAAATTATAGCGACGAGCCGATGACCATGCATGTGCATGCAAATACATGGGACACATTTAACAGCAGCATTGATATGTATATATGCATGCAAATACAATGCGATGTAAATTGTACTCTATCAAACATATGAAACCGAAGAAGCACTAATACAAGTAATGAATATATCCTAACAAATGCATGACGATAGCAAGAAGAAATACATTTTGGAAAACTAATGCATATATAAAAAGTAAGAAAGTTTTTACCTATTACAAAGGGTGTTTCTCCCGCATTCTCCTTCCCTGTCTTTCCCTTCTTTCCTGCAGATTCTTCCCACAAAGTGAAACCACTTCCAGTGTAAGAACTGCAGTTTGAGTTTTCATCATTTCTCTCCGTACTACTTCCTTCGGCAACAGTGAATACGGCTCCCTCTGCCTTTGGGGCTCTAGGATTAAAATAGGAAATGTGGCTTATACTGTAAGCTCCAATCTCGCCGGGAAGAATGCGTCCCACCAACGGTAGTGGTGGCTTTTCAACACTCGCTACCTCGACCACTGTTTCCTTCTTGGCAATTTGATTTCCTTGTTGTTCCAGTTGTAAAAAATCACGAGTCTTAAGGTATGCGCCTGCACATTTAGACATAGGAAGTCCATTCCAGTTTAGCATTAAATTCTCGTATGATTTTTAGTTAAGGAAAACTCTAATATTAAAAACCGATTACCAATTTATAAGAGTTAATTTGGTGATTATTAAAATTCGTGTTTTAGAAAAGAGTAGACTGATAATAATAATAATTGAAATTAATACAAATCAAGCAATTTAAATGGTTATTAGTTAATGAGCGATTGTTATTCTTAGATGTCCTATGTTCGTATACGTCTATAAAGATATTTGAATATTTATTATCAAATAATTAAAAGAATTAACAAATATTATCTTATAATCATTAATACTAATAATAAAATAAAATAATTAGAATTAAGTTTTATGGATGATTTCGTCTTCTATAAGAGACATGCTACATATAGTATTAAGCATTAAGAGTTGAAAATTGGTGTTCAAAGTTCAAACCACATCTCAAAGATGGATTAAGTAAAGTTGTTGACGTATTCCATCTGCATCAATTTCACGTGAAGTTCATTCTCATCAAACTGTTTGGGTTGGTGTTGAATAATTATTCAATATCCCAATTTACCTATGTTTATTCATGGACCTAATTAGGATCAAATATTGAAGGGTAAAATTATCTTATATTAAAAGAATAATAATTGATTAAGTATTTTAATTTAAAAATGAGAGAAATAAAAATCTTATTTAACAAATATTTAAACAAAAAATTACATAAAATATCATTATACAAAAAAATTCAGAGGAGCAATAACTATTCCAAACTGCTATGTAACTTCATCCCAATGTTTATATGCATTAAATTTAATAAATATTTATAAAATATCATCTCAATTAATTTTCTGTAGACAATAATAATTATTTTTATACCGAATTTCTATTAATCTATTTGTAATAAATAACAGTATTATTATAAATAAAATCATAAATTAAAAATAGTCTATATAAAAAGAAATATTTATTTTCCGACATTTTAAGATATAAATGAATTCAAATATTTATATGTGGTATCATGGAATGGAACTATGGAAGCAAAAGAAAGAAGGAAGAAACGATATACAAGGAAAAGTTGGTGGTGATGTGAATTGTATGACTTGTCAAATCACCTACAGTTAATATTGTATTTTGATATAACCTGTATTATATAATATATCAATAATTAATATTAAATAATATGTTAAAAAATACTGTAAATATTTATATCATATTTATATTATTTTTAATATCAGTATAATTTTTTCTTTATTTTTTATTAGTAAAATTTAATTTCAAGTAATGGACCCAAACAAAAGTTTTATTTGGTCCGCTGTTTTCATTCCGAAGAAGAAAATTCATTCACGTGCACTACTCCGAATCATGATCCCTAATAAAATTCTAAAAATGGTCTCCAAAAAAACCTTTAAAGCATAATTGTATTGATATCCTATTTATCTCTTTCAAATACACGTAATGTAATCTATATATGTGAATATATATTTAAATAAAAAATATTATTTAATATAAAATTGTAAAATTAAATTTTCAATTAATATTGAAATATTATAAAATATTCCTTTAAATATTTATAAAACTCTAAAAAATGAGATATTTGATAATATTTTAATATTTTTTCTGTTTGTGATATTGTTTTTTATCAATGAAATTGTATTAGATAATAACCTTAAATTTAATGTTAACAATCAAATAACATTAATTTAATTGTAAAGGTAAACAAAACAAAAAAATCAAGTAAATTAAAATTGGTGTGCCCCATTATACAGATGGAGGATTTGGAAGGGGAGTTCTTTTTTTAGAGGGAATAGTATTGAAAAAGAGAGAAATATTAGTTTAGTATAAAAATGTTTTATAGAATTATATATATATTTCTTAAACGAATATATAGGATTATATTTTTTTCTCATATTTAAGATAATTTTGGGCAATTTATTATTCTACCAAAAAATTTAGAAATTATAACTTATTTATATAATAGCTAGGTTTTATCACTGAATGAAAACATTGTATAATAAACGAAAATTTTAGCGGCAAAAAAAAATAGAGAGAGAGAGAGAGAGAATGAAAAATATGAAAACAGACAGCGGCAAATCTGTTTGTTTGTTTCTATTTCTTTTTGGGATCTAAAAAAATAAAAAATTACCTTGAGAAGGTGGCCTTGGATCTTGTTCAACACTTGAATGACTGTACAGAGAAAGAAAGTCATGCGTTGGTTTTCTTCCTGTTTATCAGAAAAGGAATTAATTCGAAGAAAAGAGCTTCTAATTCATAATTTCAACACAAATCAATTAAGCAAAATATTTCCAACAATCTTTTGTGAATTTCCTCTCATAAAATAATAACAGTAATAAAACGACGTAGTAAAATATATTACCTTCAGCTCCGAAAGGCCGGGATTGAGGGAGCTCCATCGACGACGGCCAGTTGGCGCCGGATTTTTTTTATATTTCGGATCAGAAACTATAATTATATTCTATGAAATCTAAGAGGAACAAGAATTCAAAATTCCACGTCAAATTCAATGGAATTCCGAAGAGCTTGAAGCCGTGGTTTCAAATTCTATCTATATCTTCGAAAATAAGCTCTCCTCCTTCTCAACAAACTAAACAGGGAGTGATTACGAGACGAGCGAGAGCAACAAGCAGTCGGATCGGAAACATAAATCAAATCTAGCGGAGTGATGCAGATGCAGAGAGCAGATAACAGAAACCGAGCCAGTCATAACTCAAATTCCCATGCTGGAGTAGAAATGTTAAGGTTTTAGCGTTTACCTCAATTAATTTCCCGGTCTGTGGGAAGCTTGAAGGCAAGAGAGAGAGGGGCTGGATGAAGAGGAGAAGAAGGGGAAGAGATATAATAGAAGGAAGAGAACAAGCTTTGTTTGGGGGGAGAGGGCATGTCTGGAATTTTAAAAGGAAAATTCAGAAACAAAATCTTTTTTACGTAAAATTTTATTTGGATGAAATACTCATAAATTAATAGATGTTGAATTTCTATAATTTCTATATGATTAAATAGTTTTTACATACAATTAATTGTGTTTTATGTTTAATTGATGGAATTATCTATAGAACTTTTTAAAAGTGTTTTTAAGATAAAATTTAAAATAGTAAATCTCATTTTTAAAAAGAAGAAGGAAAAACAGTAAATTCATAAATATGTATCTTAAATTTGACTAAATATTTGTATAAAAATGAATATATATATATATATATATATATATATATATATATATAATTTAACAATAAATTTAAATTCATATATTTTAAAAAAAAAAAGCTACCGCGTATCGAGCAAGAGACTCGACATGTTCCACGTTAAAACTGTAATTAAACCTCGCACGATGAAAATGATAAATTCTTTTTTATTTATAAATCACTATTAGTAAATTAAAGTTCTGTCCGTTTTATTTACCTGGCTAAGGGGATGTTTGATAAAATAAAATGATCAATGGCCTGAATGATTCAAAAGTTCTGTATAAATTGACTCTGAATATGACATGTTGTTTGATAATAGTTATGAATGTACAATCTGAATTATGAATATTTTTATTTATACCTTTATAATAATTTATTATATTATAAGATATAATTGTTTAATAATATAATATGTGAAAAAATAGGTATTATGATAAAATACCGAATGTATAATGATTCAGGATGTACTTTAATGATGAATTATTCAACAGTGTTTTGTTGTTTCATTCAGCATAGTCTTCATTCAGAGATAAGAATCAAACACGCTGAATGTTGAACCGTTCAGCATTCAGCGCTGAATAATTCCATTCAACAGTAAACAAACGATCCCTAAATATTGATATTTTGTTTACCTTGGATCGAAACCATGGTTATCAAAATCGGACCGATCGGTTCAACCGGCTGAACCGTGAACCGGTGGCATGTCCGGTCCGGTTACCTCACAAAACCGGCCTGGCAATGAACCGGCTGAAAACCAGTAGAACCGGCTGAAAACCGGGGTGAACCGGCTGAAAATCAGCAAAATCGGTTTGAACCGCCGGTTCATTTTTTTAAAAAAAAAATTAAACCAAACGACGTCGTTTGTTAAACGAGCCAAGTCAAATTCGAGTATTGCTGAGCTCTACTCGAACTCAAAAACTTTAAAAGTAAGCTCAACTCGACTCAAAAACTCACGAGCTAAAAATTATCAAGTTCAACTCGAACTCGAAATATAATATTACAACTTGAACTTGAAAAGGTTTGAACTTAAAAAAAATTAAAAGTTCGATTGAAGTCTAAAATTTGAGCTGCGAAAGAATAGTTCGCTTTGTGCTCACCAAAATGCTCAATGATTTTGAATGTCAAATTACCTCTATTATTTATAGAAGTAAGTTGTGATGCTCTTCTATGTTTCTTAGTTATGTGAGATTATTTTGTTCTCATATTTTTACTCTTTAAACTTTTGGGATGTTCTTCTATGTTTCTTAGCCATGTGAGATTGTTTTTAAAAAAAAAAATTAGACCAAATGACATCATTTGTTATGATTTTTTAAGCTCCAATTTTTTTTATAGTTATATAATTATATTTATTATTTAATAGGTTTTACCTTAAATATTATGTTGTAGTTGATTTGAATCATTTTGTTTCACTTGATTTTATGGTTTTCAATTTATAGATGTTATGACTTGTGATATTTTTATACCTTTTAATATTGTAAACTTAAAAAAAATGTTACATATATATATTAATATTGCTTTGAATATTATGTAAAATTTAAAAAAAATATTTTATATAAAATCCGGTTCAACCGCGGTTGAACCCGGTTGAACCAGTAAATCAGTACCTTCACCGATTCAATATCCGGTCCGGTTTTAAAAACATTGGTCGAAACAAATACTTTGAATTTAACCTCCACAGGATAATAAGAACGTTTAGGTGATGGTTATTTTCCCGGTATATCACCGGTGATCGGTATTATTACCGATCTAACACCGGTCAGACTATATTTCCCGATTTAACACCCTTAGCAGGAAAGCGCGCCCCCTGTACCGCGCTATATGCTGATTTGGCGCCACGTAGGTATAATGCGCCCTCTGCCCCGCGATATACGGTGATATGACGTCACGTGGGTATAGCGCGTCCCCTGATCCGCGCTAAATTTCTCTCCAATACTCTATTTTTAAGGTATATTTTATAATATTTTTACTATTATGTTTTTACTTTATTTAATATTTTACTAATATAATTCTTTTGCAGATATATAATGGAAAACAGTCTACTTCGCTCGGATGGAAATCATATATATCTACACTTTGCTGATACGGTAACAATTTAACGTTTTAATTTAATTTAAATTATTAGTAATATTTAGTTGATTTATTTAATGCACGATTATTAGATTAAGAATTAAATATCTCGACACTTTGCTGATACGGTAACATTTTAACGTTTTAATTTAATTTAAATTATTAGAAATAATTAGTTGATTCATTTAATGCATGATTATTAGATTAAGAATTAATTTTTGTAATTATTTATTTTTAGGAGAATGACCGTGTATAAGATCCTTTTATTAGGAATATTAAGTTAGTGATACCCAGTCGTGTCTTGCCGTATTTAGTAGAGGTTGAATTCGGTTACATAGGTAGATATCAGGGTCACTGTAAGATAGAGCCAGATCTGATTTCTGCCTTAGTAGAGCGGTGGAGGCCGGAGACCCACACATTTCATCTTCTGTGCGGAGAGTGCACGATCACGCTTGAGGATGTTTCTATGCACCTGGGGCTTCCAGTGGATGGAGATGTGATATCGGGGATAGCTTCTGGTTCTTGGACTACTTTGTGTCGGGATAGTCTAGGACGTGTCCCGGAAAATTTTATCGGAGGTATGATACCGTTAAATTGGTTAGATGCTAATTTTCGGGAGTTGAGCGCAGACTCCTCTGAGGATGAGGTTAAGATGTATGCACGGGCATGCATACTGCAGCTGATATGAGGGTTGTTAATGCCGGACAAATCGCGCAACCTAGTTCACTGCATGTGGTTGCGACATCTTAGCGACTTTCGTCTCGCCGGATCATTCAGTTGGGGCTCGACAGTTTTGGCTTTGCTGTACAGGGAGATGTGTGGAGCCCCTGACTACAGGCGTAATGCTATCGGTGGATGTCTCCTGCTGCTGCAGTCTTGGGCATGGTATCGATTGCCCTTTTTATGTCCCGTTATGAAGAACCCATTCGTATTTCCACTACTTTTGAGGTAATTATAAAACTGATTTTGTATATTGATAATTTTATACAGTGTATAACAAATTTTTTTCCTTGAATAGGTGGTCTACTGATAAGAAAAATCATCATGAGCTACCTGATGATTTAGAAAAAATTAAGGTGCTAATCGATCAAAAGGCTGGCAAACAGGTATGAATTTTAATGTTTAAAAATCAATTTTAGATTATAGTTATATAATTAGATTATTATTTTGATAAAAATTATATATTATTTGTTTTAGTTTTAAATGGGTGCCATATTCTACTGATGATGTGGAGGCGGTGATCCCACCTGAGTTGAGGGGTCCATCAGATGTTTGGATGGCGATGGTCCCTCTGATCTGTTATGCGACCGTCGAGTGGCACTCCACTGATCGCGTCCTCCGGCAGTTTTGTTGTTTTCAACCAATTTCGGAAGCACCTCGCAATATGAACGAGTTGCATAGCTTAGATTGATGCGACAAGACTAGGGGTGTTCATTCGGTTAATTCAGTGGCCGAACCGACCGAACTACCATTTTCGAATTAATCGAACTTTTTTTTCTTTAACCATTAACCGAACCGAATAAATTTCGGTTAATTCGGTTAATTTTCGAATTAACCGAAATTTTTTAGAATTTTAGAATTTAATATTTTTTTAATTAAAAAAAACAATTTACAATTAATTTAAATAATATCTAATTATAAATAATATCTAATTAATTTGATTCAAACATTTTGCATTTAGTTTTTATTTTATTTTAATTAATTAATATTGATTTGGGTTTTAAATTGATTGGGCCTCTTAATATAATTATATTTAAAGGTTGATTCGGTTAATTTAGTTAATTAACCGATTTCGAACCGAATTAACCATTAACCAAATTCCAAAAAAATCCTTAACCGTTCCCCGACCGAATTAATTCGGTGGCCGACCGAATTAACCGAACTAATTCGGTTAAAACCGAATTTTGAACACCCCTAGGCAAGACAGATACAGATTGGCTGGTGAGGCATCATGAGTGGGTCGTGTTGTGGAAGGATCGACATCGGAGCCTTCCACGTAGAGAGCCCATTTTTACTGACTTCTTGATTTATGCTGAGGATTATTATGAGTGGTTCAACAGTAACGGGAAACCGTTCCTACTTCCCAAGGATGCACGAGGGCAGACCTTTCCACGACGTCGATAGAGACGTTCACCGACACAGCACCATCGTCCCCCCACTCGTGGACGGAGAGCAGGTGCTTCCGGTTCATCCTCAACTACACCAGCAGGACCTTCCCAGCAGCCACCGTAGCCTTATATGATGCCGCACCATATATGATACTGCAGCCATATATGATGTTGCCATCGCCTTTTCATTACTAGATGTCGCTGCCGCCTTCACATGGTTTTATGACCCCGCCACCGTCACAGATGACCCCTCCTGTAGGCTATTATGGGTCTATATTTACAGATCTGACTTGGCGTTCATATGCTGGATATTTGGCAGGTTCATCCTCATCACCCATGGTCACAGCACATACACCTCCTGTATAGTTTTCACACTCAGCGATGTCTGGGTTTTCCCAGTTTTCGCATGCCGGTGGGATAGTCAGTCATACACCTCCAGGGTCCTTATTCTATGGAGGTGCTTCATCGTCATCAACTCCTTATCAACCT